AGTATTTTATTAGAACCTTTCAGAGAAAACAAAGACAAGCCATCATACTACCCAAATGGGTGACGTTCTGGTCCACTCTGGTAACACAGTCGCCATCATATCCAGCTGATGTGGTCTAGCATTGACAGCTGTTGACACCCAGTAAAAACAATCCTAAGGATATGCCCAACTTCAGTCAGCTTTTGTAGCAGCAAAATCCTGAAAATTTCAGAAAAGGAGCATGTTTAAGAGCTATGCAGGAAACACACGGACTCAAAGACCCTCAGGAAAGCTCAGGCTAGCCCAACAAGGTCACCATGTTAAGTGGAAAGCACTGTGACGGTTAACTTTACAAGCCCTGGTGACAGGTATGACTGCAGGGCATTCTCTTCACTAATGAGCACCCAGTGGTCACATAGAAGTACAGCATTCCTCCACAGAATAAGCCAAACCCCTTAAATTCCTCCCAAGTTGTCTTTAGCAGTCCTGGCCCATTTTACTAGAACAACAGGGGGTTAACCAGAACACTTACCACCACAGCAAGCAGGAGAAAGCGCTTGCCGTCCACTAGACACTGGGATTGGGCAAGAACAATCACGCCATCCGGATCACTTCCTTCCAAGGACAAACTTCACCTTAGGCTGGGTCCCTCAGGTCAGCCCAAAATCTAGGTGAGGGGTCGAGGCCCCTGTGTAGTCTTCAGAGCTCATTCTAGAGATGAAAATAAGACAATCAATGACAAGCAAGGGCCAGCTACACACCTCAGCAGAGCCAGAGCGCTGGGTTCCATCCCAATGAGGTATAAATGGACCACCCAGAATAAGAATTCAGGTTCCCTAAGTGAGTCAGATTCATAGTTGACATCAGGACCAGTGTCAGAGACTCTAGTCTGTGAAATCATCATTCCCAATTTAGGGAGACCTGAATCAAGGGCATTATATTCCAATACATCAGTTTTAGTACATCGATACAAGAGAAGTCCAGGGAATGTTAGTCCGAGGGGCAAGAAAGCAGGTTGTGATACCCCATGCTTTTATTCCCAGGCTTTGGGGCTGAAGAATTACAGGAACTCCAAAACCACCCAGCCACTGGAACATTAACTGCTTAAAAAAACAACCCAACACTAAGGAGAAAGAGGAGGTACAACTCCAAAGCCAAGTACAAAAACCCCAAAAGCCCACAATATTCGACCACCTCCCTGCAACTCGAATGGTCCAGAGAAAATGTCTGACCTACAAATATAATGGCTTTAATCCCAGCCATTATAAGTTCGGAGTTAGGACAAATTCGTAAATCAACAAAAACAAAAAGCTGGGAATCGGTGACGCGCCTACGGGACCTGTGAGAGGCTGGCTGTAAGGCCTGCTCTATCTTAGGAATCCAGCAAGGAGGCTGGAGAGATGGCCCAGCGTTAAGAGCACTGGCTGCCCTCTTCCAGAGGACCCGAACTCAAAGTCCCAGCAACCACGTGGCAGTCTAGAACCCCAGTCACAGGCGTGCTGACGGCCCCGGACAAATGCACAGGAAGGAATAAAGGAGACAGGCAAATATTAATAAACCCCGAGAGGAACGGGAGAGCTCCTGGCCCCAACACTCACCTTTCCTCAGGGGTAAGCGGCCGGCAGGTGTCCTCAAACCCCTAACAGGGAGACACAGAAGCAAATCGTTAACAACGGGAGCCCAGAACCCCGGTCACCGCCGATCCTGGACCCGGGGGCGGTCAGCGCGCTGCGGTGATGGCGTCAGCGGACACTCAGACTCACCAGGGGTCATCATTACCGTCGTTCCCCCGGGGCCAGCCCCTCCGCACCCCGCCCTGCACGGGCACCATCCACTTACCATCGTGCGTCCGGGGGCGGCGGGCGACGATCGGGGGCCTGGGGAGGGAGAGAGCGGGGCGTGAGCACGGGTCCGAGAGACCACGGCCGGCGTGGCTCAGCCCGGGCTGGGTCAGCTCCAAGGCTGGCGTCACGGAGACATCAGAAACTCTAGTCTGCAAATGGGGGTCATCCCGCCCAGCCCCGCGCCGCAGCGCCCCCCCTCCCTCCCCACCGGGGCCGGGGTACCTGCTGCACGAGGCCGGGCCGTGCACCGCAGAGACCGACAATGGGAACAGAGAACCGCAGAGCTGCAGGCGCGCGCGCAAAGAGAGCGCCCCGCGCCCGCCCACGCTCTTTATAGCCGCGCCAGCCCGGGGTCCTGACGCCATGCTCGTCTTCTGATATGCCTGACCGGGTCGCGCTGGCAAATGAGGAAAGAACGAGTGGAATTATGTCTCTCTTCTGGGTAGAGAGTCATATACGGGACTTGCGAATTCTGGTAAATTACCAGAGAAAAGGAAAAAAAATAAATAAATGGAAACAGGCGGCCTAGGCGGCCAAGGCGGGATAAAGACCCCGGGGAGCCGGCGGGGTGCGCGCGCGCGCTCCCTGGCCCCCGAGGTTCGCGGCTGCAGTGACTCTGCTCTCTTCTTAGGATCCGATCATCTCCAGCCAGAAGGGTCTGACTTTGCATTTCAGCTTCTGCTCTACGTCCTCTTTATTAAAAAACAAAAGCTTTATCGACTTGTAAGCCTTTCTCCTCCCGACCCCCGCCGTGTTCCCGGCTCATTTGGAACTACGTAGTGCAAGGTGGGTTCCAGCCATGCTTAGAATTACAGGCGGGACCCATACCACGCCCAGACACCTGTGTCATTTTTTAAAAAAGTTTTTAAAAATTAGTGTTGTCTCCGGGCGTGGTGGAGCACGCCTTTAATCCCAGCACTGGGGAGGCAGAGGCAGTGGATCTCTGAGTTCCAGGCCAGCCTGGTCTACAGAGTGGAGTTCTAGGACAGCCAGAGCTACACAGAGACCCGTGTCTCAAAAAAACACAAGTAAATAAATTTGGAGGGCTGCGCAGTGCCCTTTATGGAGCTCAGGGCCCGTCTGGGCTACTGAGTCAGACTCCGACTCAGAAACAAGATAAAAATAAAATTTGGATGACCACTGTACTTTTTTCAATTATTTCACCTGCCCTCCCTCCCTTGAAGGTTGCAGCCTTCCATCAAAAATCCCTCGTAAGGGTGAGTGTGGTGGCAGCACAGGCCTCTTATCCCAGCACTTGGGAGACAGGGGCAGGCAGATTTCTGTGAGTTCCAGGCCAGTCAGCACTACACAGAGATCCAGCCTTAAAAACATAATAGAAACTTTTTTAAATGTAAGATTCCTAGAGTAATTATTTGATAAATTTCTCAGTTCCTAGAGCCCCAAGTTCCACCTGGGAGTGATATGGGAAGAGGCTGCTTTCAATTCCAGTCAGTACATGTACAGGCCAGAAATGACTTCTAAGTCTGGCATGGTTTAGCAGCAAACCGTTTCTCGAATGAGCAATTCATGAACGTAATTGCCAGGGCCTCAGAAATTATTTTTTGGCATTAAGCCACTGCTGATGGCTTCCTTACCCCACAGTGGGCTTACACTGGCCAATATGAACGTGCTAGGATACAGGTGGTTGACATCTGGCCCAGCTAAGTGATTTATTCCCGGTGGAGCTGGGGAGTGAATTTAGCCCAATGCCTGCTAAGGGAACATTCCGTCACTGAGGTACACTCCCCAGCTCTCAAAGGATGAGTTTGATGTGACACAGTAGGATGGAGGTCCATGCATCAAAGGCTTTCGATGAAAGCCTTTATTCCCCCACTTTCTGCCTGCTAATTCATGCCTTGGGCATGCTAAGTGTTATTTCACCAGGCTAACTGCCTGGAAAGAGGAGTGGGGACAGAGTGAGTGTGATAGTATGTGCCTATAATCCCAGCATTTGAGAGCCAGAGCAGCTGGGCGGTGGTGGTGCACACCTTTAATCCCAGCACTCCAGAGGCAGAGGCAGTGGATATCAGTGAGTTCCAGGACAGCCAGATCTAAATATCCATTTCTATCACAGCCAGAGCTACATAGAAAGACCATCTCTCTCTCTCTCTCTCTCTCTCTCTCTCTCTCTCTCTCTCTCCTCTCCCCCCCCTCCCCACAAACAGC